CACTATTACATTAGTTATAATCTTCATATTTTGTTAGAGTTTACGTTTAGCTTGGAAATGTGTCATTCTAGAATCCTTGAAAATACATCCTATGTGAAATACATAAAAAAAAATCTTTGTACTGTAACATATAGAAAACCATACACAGTAATTTTTCAAGTAATTGAGTTATTCTAATGTTAATGAATATTTTATAAACATAATTAAAATCAGGAATTAAAGCTTTAAACTTTGCCCTCTTTGGGATTAAGTATTTTTAAAAATTCCAATTTCTATCAGCTCGTTAGTTACATGTTCTTTTACTAATTTGATTGGTTAATTTATAAATTACAAAATAAATTTTCAACTTATAAATTTTATTATAAATTAATAGATTATCAATGTCCTCAAAAGTTACAAATTTAAAATATTTTAACTTCCCTTATCTCTTTCCTTTTTTATGATTTCTTAGACCATGTATACTCTCTATATTTTAAACCCTAGAAACCTTTGATTGCTTAGTTAGTAATCATTTAGTTCTGCTTTGTTCTTTAATGTGTCTTGCCAATAGAGTTATTTTTGTTTTTACTCAAGAAAAGCTTTAATGGTGTTTCTGACTTATGCTAAATAATGTTCACATTTTTGTTTGCCTAAATATGAGCTTTATTTGACTTTACTTTTGAGGAATATATTTGGTAGAAAAATAATATACGACTGTTAGTTATTTTCTAGTAGCTCTTGGGTGTTATCCTTTTATTGTTTTCCAGCTTTAATTTTTTCTCATGAAAATCTGATTTATTATTGTCCTTTTGAAGGTATTTTTTAAAATTTGTAATTAAAACTTCTACTTTGAGGTAATCGAAGATTTATAGGTAATTGTAAGAAATAATACTGAGAGATCTTATATACCTTTACCTACTTTCTCCCACAGGTAACATCTTGCAAAACAATGTCACAACCAAGATATTGACATTGATAAGAAGAACATATGAGCATTTCCATCACCATAAGGATATCTCCTGCTGTCATGTTATGGCCACACCCACTCCTTTTCATCTTTACCCTTGGACCCAACCTCTGGCAACTAATAACCTGTTCTCTATTTCCAAGTTTGTTATGGTGAAAATGCTATTTCAATGAAATTATACTTTATGGAAACTTTGGACATTGGCTCTTCTATTCACTCAGAACAATTTTCTAGAGATTCATCCGTTACTGCATGTATTAATTATTCATTCCTTTTCTTTGCTGAACCATATTTCATGCTATGAATTTATCACAGTTTGCTTAATCGTTCATCTATTGAAGGATGTCTGTGTTGGTTCCAGTCTGGATTTATTAGAAATGAAACTGCTATAAATAATTTTGTACATTTGTTGTAGAAACATAAAATTTCATATCTCTGTGGGAAATGCCCAAGAATATAGTTCTGAGTTTTATGGTAATTGCAAATTTAATTTTTTATGAAACTGTCAAAATATGTTCCCGAGTAGCAGTGCCATTTTACACTTTCACCAATGATGCAGAAATGACCTAATTTCTCCACAATTTACCACAAAGTTTAGCTTTTATGATAGGCCTGTAGTGATATCACATTGTAGTTTTAATTTCTATTTACCCAATGTAAATAGAAATAAATTTTTAAAAAGATGTGGAATACCTTTGCATATGCTGGTTGGCTCTTTCTATGTCCTTGCCAGTAAATGTCTGTTCTTGTATTTTGCCCATTTTCAAATTGAATTTTATCTTCAGATTTTATTGTTGAGTTTTGAAACCTTTTTATAAAAACAAACTATAGGACTAAAAGTAGAAACTCTGTAGTTTGTCTTTTTATCATCTTAACAGATTTTAAGAGTAAAACTTTTAAATTTTGATGAAATTCAATTTATCACTGTTTCCTTTTATGACTCATGCTTTTGGTGTCAAGTCAAAGAATGCTTTGCCTCATCTTAGGTCCTGTGACTTTGATAGTGGTATCATATCTTTTTTTCTCTTGCTGCTTTTAATTTGCTAAAGTTTTACTTTCATGCACTGAGGTAAATTTAGCTTTGTAGGCAGTATGCTTGGTGGTTTTGTTTCTCTTAAGTTTATTCAGTGTTTGACTTGATATTTCCATCAATTTGGAATAACTTTCAGCTATAATCATCTTAAATATTTTTTCAGTCCCATTCTTTCTCTCATATGCCTCTGAGAATTGAATAACTTGTATATTAGACTTGCATGTCCCATATGTCTCTCATATTCTTATTTATATTTTCTTTATCTTTTCATGCTTCAACATGGCTTTTTTATTCTGACCTACTTTCCAGTTCCCTTATTTTCTCTTGCACTATGTCTAAGTTGCTGTTATTACCAACAATTGAGCTACTGTATTTTCTTAAATTTAAATTTTCCATTAGAATGTTTAACATTTTTTTCATCAACTGTGCTTTTATAATGTATTTCAAGAACATTATGTTAGGATGTATGCATCCATTTTTAATACAATTGAAAGAAAATTTGATAAATACTTAATAATGTATTTATACTATAAAATTACTTACTGGTTTTAAAATCATTGCATAGTAAAATACTTAAGAATATAAAATAATAATATTTTAAGTGAATAAATTATATAAACCATACAATGCTTTCAAATATAACTTTACTTTGTCCTCATTCATATTTATAATTTTCTCATGGGAAATGTTAAATTAATTAAGTAGAAGGCCATATCAGCTTGAGGCTATCACTGTATTTTTAGTTTTTGTGTAACAAAATGCTACCTAGATTTGTTTGATGGTTAATATTGAGTGTCAACTTGATTGGACTGAAGGATGCAAAGTATTGTTCCTTGGGGGTCTGTGAGGGTGTTACCAAAGGAGATTAACATTCGAGTCAGTGGACTGGGAGAGGCAGATCCACCCTCAATCTGGGTGGGCACAACCTAATCAGCTGCCAGACAGGCTAGAATAAAACAGGCAGAAGATGGAAGAGCAGACTTGTTGAGTCTTCCGGCCGGCCTTCATCTTTTTCCTGTGCTGGATGCTTCCTGACCTCGAACATCGGACTCCACGCGCTTCAGCATTTGGATTCTTGGACTTAACACCAGTGGTTTGCCAGGGGATCTCAGTCCTTTGGCTACAGGATGAAAGCTGCACTGTTGGCTTCCCTAATATTGAGGTTTAGGGACTCAGACTGGCTTCCTTGCTCCTTAGCTTGCACACAGCCTACTGTGGGACTTTACCTAGTGATGGTGTGTGAGTCAATAATAAACTCCCTTTCATTTATGCATCTATCCTATTAGTTCTGTCTCTCTAGAGAACTCTAACACATTATGTCAACTAAAAGAAACCTAACTTAGGAATATAATTTTACTAACAAATAGCTGATTTTCAGGCAATTACAAGACAGCCAACTGGTCACTTTAGGCCCAAATAAAGCAAACACCCAGCTGTAGCCAATCAGGTCATTTCTCTACTTGGCTTCTGTGTTCAGTCTTTGAAAGCCTGTCGCTCACGATGCTGGATGGAGCTCTTTAAACTTCTTCTGATTCTGAGTGCAGCCCAATTTGTTACTCATTGATTGCTTAAATAAACCCTTTTAAATGTATTATGTCTAGAGTTTCTTTTTATTTTAACAACAGTGAACGTGAAAAAACTTTATGTTACAAAGCCAGCCATTCAGATATACATATATTTTTCCCTGACAGTATTAAAAATAAATAGGTAATGATTACTTTAGCAAGCCTCACTGATTGTCCTTCATACACGAATACAAAAAAGGATGCTTCTCAGGAGTATAATTTCAGCACAAGTTTCAAAATGACTTGAAATCATTTGGGAAGGGATACTCATTCTTGTTCACTACAGATAATAATAGAGTACTTTTGACTCAGAAAGGGTATATTTTGACCTATACCCTTTGAATACACAACTTCCTGTAATCCCTCCCCCTTCAGTGTGGGTATGACCTGTGTCTTGGTTCTGACAAACAGAATATGGCAAATGAGTCGATGTGTCACTCACTTGATTACATTACATTATACGAGGCTGTTTTGCCTGCAGGCTTGCTCCTCTTATTTGCATGATGAACTAACTGGACATATTGGGGAGGTCCAAATGGCAAGCAACTGCTGGTGGTATCTCAGAGATATGGGCAGCCTTGAGGAGTAAAGGAAAGTCTTGACTTTTTCAGGTCTGTATCAGAGAGAAACTGAATGCTCCCAACAGCCCTATGAACTTGGAAGAGATCCCCAAGCCTCGGGCGAGAAAACAGCCCTAGCAGACACCTTGATTAGAGTCTTGCGAGACCTCTGCAAAGACCCAGCTAAGCCATGCACAAATTTCTGACCTATAGAAACTGTGAGATAATAAATGCATTTTGTTTTAAGTTGTGGATTTTGTGTAAATTGCTTATACAGCAGAAAAGCAAATACACAACCCCTTTCAGCCTCCTACTTGCTCTGTTTGTATAGGCAACCAGACTTCCAAATTGCCTTGCTTCTTTAACTAGATGCCACACAACATCCAGCCTCTTGCCCCATGTTCCAGATCCATCTTCACTTCACCACCTTATTAATACATATATACTCTCCACGTTTTTAAAATTGAATCATCATTTAGTATCAGCATCACTCAATCATCGTTCCTGTGTCACTCCTGCAGATCCTCCAAAATAGACAGAGCTATCCCTCTGACACAATCAAGTCCATCAGCCTCATTAAGAGGAAAACATTTGCTATTTCCTCCTCATTTAAAGTAGGGTTGGACATAAAGCATTCAATATCATTTTATTGGTATAATTTATGCAGCATTCATGAATGAATCCATTTTTCTGAGTTACATTTCGGATCCAAAGAAAATTCAATCACTATGATTCTCCAAAAATTATTTGGTACTTAAAATAAAGCTTTATGAAATTAGTTTCACTGAGTACAAAATTACACTGTGGGCTTTGGGGGATTATACCTAAGAATAATACAAATAAAGCCACTTGCATTTATTCCATTCAAATGAGGAGGAAGGAAACAATTAACTTACCTGGCCAGGCTTAGAATTTTCACAGACAACAATATCATATTCCCTGGCAAGTTCAGGTGGATTGTCGTTGACATCCAGAACTCTAATACCCACTGTGACATGGCTCAGCAAATCAGGATTATCTGCAAAATACACAGGAATGTATTTAGTATTTCCATGCACACTTTAGTGGCTCGGTTGAAAACAAATCTCTTTAATACTGCAGCTTGTCACTGGTTCCATATGCTGCAGCAGGACCTTTGGCAAACGACAACTTTATGAAGGCGCTCTTTGCTAGAACTCATTAACTTACAGGAAGATGAAAAATGAACACCATGGCATGACATGAATGCCAAAATGATACTTTGTCATATCAAGGAAATTACATGTTATCAGGAACTCGAGTGGGAGAAAGTTGTCAGAATTCATTGTATGCTGTCAGAGTCTACAGGATGAACAATTGGTTTCATCATTAATCTAAGAAAAACACAGCAGCTTGTAAAAACATAATCACATAATCTTTAAAAAAGTCTAATGTTCAAATCTAACTAAACTCAAAGAAAACAAAAAATAAATTTATTTACACAAAGGATCATTTTCTTATGGTAGGATATATGTAGTGTGTGATGTTGACTCACACTTGAGGAAAATAAAGAGTAATTGAAGTCAAAATTTAGTATGAGATTCACACATGAAATTGACATGTAACTCTGGGAGATATCAAAATATATTCAATACTTGCAAATCCATCTTAAACCAAGTCTTTTCATTTTTTCAGTGGGTTTATAAATTCTGAGATGTAACAAAAACGTAAATGTCTGGTTTATTTTACTAGTCAAAGCTAGAGATTCAGAATACATAATGAACAAACTAAATCTCTCTGTCTGGCTTTCTCTCTGCTAATGTATCTGCCATTCTCTGAAACAATTCAAATTTAAATTATAACAACATACTAATACATTAATAATAAGACTAGGTAAAAAGATACAACAATATTAGGAAAAAGGGAATAAATACTTATAGAGAAGTCATTCACGATGGTAAGAAAAGAGATGGTTTAAAAAGTATCTTAAGTAGCTCTAACGCAAATAGAAAATCTAAGTAGCACTGTATTAAAATAACTAGAGAAAATAAATTCTTCAGTAAAAAGTTAATTTTTGTGAAGAATGAAAAAAAATGTGTCCCTGATTTTTTACTTAAACAGGTAATTACAGTCTACACATTTTTCCCTAGAAGATATAAGAAAGAGGAAATATTTCAAAATTTTTATTTATTTATTTATTTATTTTGCTTGTGAAACTTTGGAACCAATACTCGACACTGCCACTCAGGACACATATGAAGTGTTATCTGCCTAAACAGAATCATAGTAAACACACTCTACTGCATTGTTCTTGATCATTCTTGATCAACTTTGTACCAGGAATATTTGTTTAGCTCAACAATAAAAGACGAAAGAGGTACAGAAAAGAAGGAAATTTTTATAAAGATAAAATAAAAGTTATTAATGAGTTAGTGAATTAAAGGAAGGATGAAAAAGCATATACATAATCGCTCTGACTGCTATCAGTGGTCACCTCTCACTGTCCTACCTCTGCCTTGGTGCAGCTTTCCCCTGGAACTGGAATGTGTTCTCAGGCATTCCATGCTTGGGCACAGGAAACTGACTCCTTCTACTTCAAAATAGACTCTTTCCATTATGACTCAATATTACTTTACATCCCTAATGTACAATCACTATTCTGTAACAATGATTAAAAGCATAACATTTGGGATCAGGCTAATATCAGTTTTGTCTGTATACCTACTACCATTCTACGTCCTGTAGGAAACATCTTATCTTATTGAGCATGTGACTCATGACACTGCCTGCCCTGTCAGGGGCAACCATAGCAGTTATGAAAACCAAAAGGTTAGAGTAAATTTTAAGTAATTTCTGGTGCAAATTCAGTAACTGCTATCTGTTACTAAAAGTAGGATGATGTATAAAAATGTGGCTGTGATTTCAGATAATTAGGGGTGAAAACTCACTATCACTTTATAGCCACTCGCAGCCTTCTTGCAGCATTCTGGTCTTTTATGATATGAGATATTTCTATATTTGTGAACTGAAAAGTACCCATGGGTCTCTATATATTATTTCTTGTGTCCTTGGGTTAGTATTCTATCCTTTGAATGTCAATCACTCTACCTATAAAATGTAAACCTGTTCATGGGATTTACAAACATTCTGCTAAGGCTAAAACTGGGTAATTCTCTAAGGTTTTAAAACACTATTTCTAGTATTGTTATTATAATTTTTATTTTTATGCTTTGTTTCTAGAAAACAATTTTCATATTCTTTTGACAGCAGAGGAAATAAAATACATCGAAATCATACAAACTTAAATATAAATCATATTCTCAGCACTCTTCAGGAGCAGAACTTCAAAAAGTTATTTGCTATTTATTGATGTACTTTAATTATTTAATCTGTAAGCCAATAATAAGAGTTATTTGACTTGCCAAGTTGTGTTTTTGAGAAACAATTAACGGTAACTATGTCAACTTTAAAATACTGAGCCTGGGAAAAAGAATGTACATTTTAATAATTTTTGAATACTAAAATAGAAACAAAGCCAAAATACATGCATGCAATTTCCAGCACAAACTATGTTATATAAAAATCATCTGTGCTTTATGCAACGTTAATACAATAAGGACTCATGTCATTAGAGTGCTCCCTCTAGAGATAGTGATACAGAGAAAGTGCTATTCCAGTGCAAGTGGAAGCGGTATGCTACAATATCTAGAAGATATTTTATAACTTGAGAAACAATAATTTTTATCCAGTGATTACTTTTGGAAAGACTGATGTGTGTGTAACACTATGATGGGCTCTAGAGAACACAGGACAACAAAATATGTCATTCTTACAGATTTCCCACTTATCAAAATTGAATGGAAAAAACATATACTATTTTTTTCTTAAATATCATGACTTAATTGTTTAATTTACTTTTAGACCAAAGCCATTATTATTTAAATATGTGCCACCTAAACAATCTAAATGATGTCTATTAGTATATGCCTACTAGGGAATTTGGTAGATTTCTAATTTGATTATTCATATTCTAAAATTAGTATTAAAAATATTTGTCAAATATATGAATAGGTTAGTGTAATATTGTAGATTATTTTCCTAAAAATATGCTTTTATTGCTTTCATTATGAAAATTCACTCAAAATGAAAAGCCTTATCTACTATTATAATAACAATTTACAGGGAATATGAACTTAAATAACCACATTTATTGCTATCTAAGTTTCATAAATGCCCATGAGAATAAAGATGGTTTATAAATTGTATTTTTGGTCTGTCTGATTGAGAGTTCTATGAAAAGATTTCCTTATACGAAAATGTATAACTAAAATTATGCTCATTCTTTTGAATACTTACTGTGGACTGATGCTGGAACATTTTAACGTGCTTGGTTAATGTTCTGCTTGTTAACAAATAAGTTTCCATTATTTTCTTTAATAAATATATAACAATAAGTTTTGAAAACAGGTGCTCAAATGAAAACAAATTTCCACTGAAGTGTACTTGTTTGATTTGAAATGAGAGTAGGTTTTCCATTGTAAAATCTTGTATATGAAAGTCATATTTAAGTTTTAGGTAGAAAAAGTGAGCTAAATCAATTAATACATATTATAAACTACTTTATAATATTATTACATCTACTTAAACAATAATTTGTATGTAAAACTCTCACAATGCCTGGTACATGCTGGTGCCACTAATATGCTTCTTTTTCTCTTTTTTTTCCTATATTTTTTAAATATCAGTAAAAAAATCAAATATTGTATTCAAAATAATTTGCTATAATGTATATGAAAGATGTATATCACATATAATAAATTATTCTTCAAATATCTCTTTACGGTATCCACATAAAAAGTTTTAAAGTAAAGCATTCTGTGAATTTTATGTGATAGAAAATTTAACCAACTCTACGTGTTTAAGGTCACTTATTTCATAGGAAGGAGCATAACATATGTGTAGAAATATTTCAAAAATTACAAAGCATTTAGAAACACATCACCCAAGATTTACCCCACATATTTATTCAACTTTTGTACTTTTACAATAAGTGCTCTCATTTATTACATAGTTATCATACAAATTCTAAATTGAAGTGAATTATTTAAAATGAATCTTGACTCTTTTCGATACATTATTGTGTTCCAGTGGCCTATGAATCCTCCATCAATTCCTTATATATCATTAATATTATTATCTGAGAGTCACATGAGTTAGAAGCTTTAAAATTAAGGCTGTGCCTTTGCTGTTAGGAACGAACACTTTGTTCCATTAACCAGAAATACAAAGTCAAAGTAATTTACCTCTACTTGAAAGTAATTACATTGAGATAATGTAAGAAATTTTATTGATTAAAAAGTAAATGAAAAACTGTATTCTATTCTTGTGAAAATGTCACAATTGGCCCACTCAATTATATAACAAAAATCTACCAAATATAACATTTATTTTCCACTTTTTGTAATAATTCAGTTTTAACATGTTTTCTCTATCTTAGGCTACTTGTCTATAATGCCTGTGAACTTTTCTGTCTTTCATCTTTATAGAGTATACAGGATTTATCTTGTGATGAACTGTTATGCTGTCTTTTGCACTTACAATTACAATCATATTTTTAATGCTGCTTAGAACTTTATTAACAAAATGGATTATAAGTTTATTCTTTCTTTTTCTGGGTGTGCAATCTAATTATAATAAAAATTTCCTGGCCGGACGCAGTGGCTCACGCCTGTAATCCTAACACTTTGGAAGGCTGAGGCGGGCAGATTATGAGGTCAGGAGATCGAGACCATCCTGGCTAACATGGTGAAACCCATCTCTACTAAAAACACAAAAAAATTAGCCAGGTGTGGTGGTGGGAGCCTGTAGTCCCAGCTACTTGGGAGGCTGAGGCAGGAGAATGGCATGAACCCGGGAGGTGGAGCTTGTAGTGAGCCAAGACCGCACCACTGCACTCCAGCCTGGGCAACAGCGAGACTACGTCTCAAATAGTAATAATACTACAATAAAAATAAAAATAAAAATTTCCTTATAGATAGAATCAACATCAGAAAATGCTAA